TCAGGCTCTAACACTAAAAGTATTTAACTGGTGCTAACTTAGCAGAAGGAGATGGGAGTAGAGGAGAAAGGTACCAGCCTTAAGCCAGGATGGAGAATATTCAAGAAAGGTTTAGAAACAAGGGTGGGCAAGGCCAAATTAGATCCTGAAATCAATTAGGATGCAGTCTGCATCTCTGGATAGGGATGGTGTGATCTCACCTCTTCAGAAGTACAATGGTAGCAGCATTCTGCTCAGGCCCTAGGTCTGGAAGCCCAAGCGCTTGGGAAGACAAAGAAACTGAAGTTGGCCAAGTGAAAAAGGGTGGCTGAGTATTTCAGCAGAGTCAGTGTTCAGTGATTAAGGAGGGGACTTCAGAGCTAGTGAAAGGCCACACTACAGGGCATGGAGATGTGCCCTTAAGTCAGCAATAAGAGGAAAATCAGGGAAAGTGTTGATCCCTTACTGAATGAGGGAGGCAACCTAGTGACAGATGATGCAGAAAAGGCTGAAATACTCAATGCCTTTTTTACCTCAGTCTTCACAAGGAAGGTCAGCTCCTAGACTACTTCACTGGGCAGCAGAGTTTGGCGAGGAGGTGAGCAGCTGACAGTGGTGAAAGAACAGGTTATGGACTATTTAGAAAAGCTAGACATTTACAAGTCCATGGGGCCAGATGCAATACACCCAAGGATGCTGAGGGATTTGGCTGATGTGATTGCAGAGCTGCTGACCATTATCTTTGAAAACTCGTGGTGATTGGGAGAGGTCCCAGACTATTGGAAAAGGGCAAATATAGTGCCCATCTTTAAGAAAGGGAAGAAGGAGGTTCCAGGGAACTAGAGACCTGTCAGCTTCACCTCAGTCCCTGGGAAAATCATGGAGCAGACCCTCAAGGAATCCATTTCTAAGCACTTGGAGAAGAAGTTGGCTAGGAGCAGTCAGCATGGATTCACCAAGGGATTGCCTTCTATGATGAGATGACTGGCTCTGTGGATGCCAATGGATGTGGTATACCTTGACTTTAGCAAGGTTTTTGATATGGTCTCCCACAACATTCTCGCAAACAAGTTAAGGGAGTTTGGGCTGGATGAATGGACTGTAAGGTGGACAGAAAATTGGCTGGAGCATTGGGCTCAGAGGGTAGTAATGGCCCTTATGTCTAGTTGGCAGCTGGTATCAAGTAGAGCACCCCAGGCGTCAGTCCTGGGCCGTTTTGTTTAATATCTTCATCAACAACCTGGAATATGGCATAGAGTGCACCCTCAGCATGTTGCAGATGACATCAAGCTGAGGGGAGTAGCAAATATGCTGGAGGGTAGAGTTAAGATTCAGAGAGACCTTGACAAATTGGAGGATTGGACCAAAAGAAATCTCATGAAGTTTGATAAGGACAAGTACAAAGTCCTGCACTTAGGACAGGACAATCCCATGCACCAGTAAAGGCTGAGGACCACCTGGCTAACCAGCAGCTCTGCAGAAAAGGACCTGAGGGTTACAGTGGACAATCAGCTGAATATGAGCCAGCAGTGTGCCCTTGTTGCAAAGAAGGCTAACGGCAAACTGGGCTGCATTCATAGGTGTGCTGCCAGCAGATCAAAGGAAGTGATTATTCCCCTCTATTCGGCACTGGTGAGACCACATCTAAAGTCCTGTGTTCAGTTTTGGGCTCCCCACTACAGAAAGGACGTGGACAAATTGAAGAGTCCAGCAAAAGGCAATGAAAATGGTTTGGGGGCTGGGGCTCATTACTTCTGAGGAGAGGCTGAGGGAACTGGGCTTATTAAGTGTGGAGAAGAGAAGACTGGGGGGATTTAACAGCAGTCTTTAACTACCTGAAGGGTGGTTACAAAGAGGATGGAGCTGAACTGTTCTCAGTGGTGGCAGATGACAGAACAAGGAGCAATGGTCTCAAGTTGAAGCAAGGGAAGTCTAGCTTAGTTATTAGGAAAAACTTTCTCATTAGGAGGGTAGTAAAACAGTGGCACAGGTTACCCAGAGAGGTGGTGGAACCTCCATTTTCATAAGTTTTTAAGATCCAGTTAGACAAAGCTTTGGCTGGGATGATCTAGTTGGGACTGGTCCTGCCTTGAGCAGGGTGTTGGACTAGATGTGACTTCCCAATGTCCCTTCCAACCCTAATTTTCTATGATTCTGTGATTCTACGTGGGAGCAGACAGGAGGTTCCAGGTTGGGAGCAGTGCCAATATATTTTACTTAGTCCCATTTTAATACAGTCCTCAACTGTGGGGTCTGGGTGTCTGTTTATGAGCAGGTTCCTGTTTATGTGTCTGAGTGTCAGTTTATAAGCTGGCTTTTGACAGTGCATACCTGAAGCAGGATATGAACTGGCCGAAGGAAACTGTTGGGGTCCCTGGCTGTCTGGTCAGGTACCTGTAGAGAACCTGTCACCACCAGAATGATTTTCTTTCACATATCTCTGATGTATGGGCAGTCAGAGGTGGTCGATCATTTCTGCCTGCCAGTGGCAGGTCTGCCTCAGGCAGTTCAATGAACCTCTTTGCCCTGCGCTGTTTCTCCATGGTTGTACACGGAGTGCCCGGTGAGCTGCCTGCCAGTTCAGGTCTCTGTGCTCCTTCTGCAGGTCCTTGTGGAAGATTTGCTCCCACATG